TTTGTAATCTGAAGTATTTTTCTGATTTGTCTAACTCGACAAATTGTTGCGGAGGGTGGATGATTTTGCTTTAAGTGATTGGATGGTTGATTTCAAATTTAAATATTTGGAATTGAGATTTTTTTGGAGTTTTGGATTTTCTTAGAGTTTATGGGTGTTTGTGAGCATTTGAAAATATATGATCTCCTCCAATTGATATTTACATTCAATACGACCATCATCGTGGTGTATGGGGTCATCATACTTTGTTTACTAAACCTTGTCGACTCTGTCAACTTTCTGACAGAGGATCTGATTTTGTAGGCTTTATTCTTTATTAACGAATTTCTCTGTTCATAGGCCTTATATGAAAGCATAAAATAGATATTCCGATCGACACCTTGACCATATATATATTTGATAGTTCGAGCTGTGTCAACTCCTATCTACCCGCATAAAAGGATTGGACTCGAACTTGAATTTGTTGTTTGACCCGCACAGCATTCCTAGACGTCACGTGTGTGCTCATAACACGCTCATTGGGGCCCATGTGGGTGTATTATACATCCCCTTCTGTGTACCTATGTGCATACACATTATAGTGCATTTGCGGGGGAATTTTTTTTGAAACATTTCAGTTGATCAGTTGTGAGGCAACTGTCGTTTGAATGCAGCATTATATTTGGAAGCTCGTAGACGCCTTCTGTCTGCTTGTACGAGTGTTGCAGATCCCATGACGTCATACTACAGGTTGTTCGTTGCCTTGTACAGGTAGACTGTCGTGAATTATTTGTTATTTTATGAAGGTAGATTACAGTGCACTAACGAATCTCCTGCTATCGGTTGTGGATGTTTGCATCTATTGCAATTCTTTCACATTTTCCCATAAATAACATATTGATTGTATAATGGGCCTGCTTCAGCAGCTTGTAAATATTTACCTTTTGGTTTGTAGATGACATTTTGCACATATTGCGGTTCTCTTACAACCTCGTAGGAGCTTGCACTTGTCTTCATTCTCTCACCTTTTCTTATAAGGGATCGTATAATTGAGGAATCCCTTACATTGATTTGTAGGAGCTCGTATGCTTTACCAATATGCCACTCTTGCTTGTAGATAATATGCATCATACCTTGTTATACGTTGCATTTGTTGTCTATAGAATTTTTCATCTGCTAGATATTTAATTTGCACTGACTGTGAAGATGTTGCAATATTCATCACCTTATGTTATAACAACATGTAAATACATTATATATGTTGCTGATTATTTGCCCGTGCTTATAGTGAATCAATGCATTTACTTGATAATCATTCATCATTAACTACAAGGATGCCTCAATATTTACTATAAATTGTTCATCATCACTGAGAGGCGGATGACTTTATGCATGATGAGCCTTTTACACCGGCTTATGGAAGCATGCATTTGCTGCATTTCTTCTGCATCTTATTTGTAGACAGAATATTCGGTATATAATGAGCTTCGTAGAGTAGCTAGTAGGTACTCGCATTTGTTGCATTCCATCTGCATTTGCTTGTATGATTGACATGAACTTTTACAAATCAAATGTTATCATTTGTAGGCAATTTACCTGCTGGGGGTTTTGTACATTTTTTCACAACCAAACTATACATTCCATTTAATTTTCTTTGCTTGCTGAGTTCAATACATATGTTTGTATGCTTGGTATTGGTTGTGGGAATGTCATTGTGTCTGTTGCATTCATCTTCTTAATGAATCAGCATATTCCTCAAGAGCCTTTCTAATGAATCAACATACCCATTGTATGTCACCTTGTGGCCCATTACATTACAAACTTTCTTATATTATGGATAAACCTCATCATTGCAAACTCTATGATTCATGCTTGTAGACGAGTTATATCCACTAGGTGCTCCTTTCCACATGTATATGCAACATATGTGATATGCTTCATATTTGTTCACGCTTCTTTTCTTTTTCTAGTCAGCATTACCCTTGTCGCATTGTCTATTTGTGGAAGGTTATGTATCATGACTTTATAATCTCCTCGTTGCTTTCAAATAGATTCTAATTGCAAGCTCTTTGCCCTCAAAGATGGTTCAATATGTATGATAAATTTGCTACCATCATTCATTTACATTCCAATCAAGGTATTAACCTTCGTTTAAAAAAAAACAAGTCATTATTCAAATCAACTTCTTATCTCAAATTCAACTTAAGCTTAAAGTCATTCGAGTTCAATTCCTTGTAGCACAAGTTTAGTTGGTTGGTCAAATGATTCAAGTTTGGCTCATGTTCATTGTAGTTCCCATCTGGATTCAAGTTCAAGTCCTTTGTGTCAAATTGCAAGTCTTTTCTTTTGTTCAAATCCAGTTCATGTTCAATGTCCAACATGCTCATTTCATTTTCAAATTAAGCTCATTGATGTTTGGTTTTAAGTTTCTTGCTATCCAAATCAGGTCTTTGCTTGGGTTTGATTGCATGTCCATGTCTTCTATGGTCCAAAATTGATTCAAGTTTGATTTCAGTTCAATTTCATTTTACTTGGGTTCAATTCTTTATTAATCACTTAGATTTTGTTCAGATACAAGTTCAAGTCCAAGTCTCCTGTTAGGTGTAAATTTTGGCAGCCTCCCGAAGTCTCCCTCCATTTACGAGAAAAATCAAGAGACATCATTCCCCTCCATGCTATATGAGCGTTTCAGGTAGATGTCGGGTGACACCGCAGCTGCAATATCTTCAATCCCCGCTACGTTATATAAGCGCTTAAGGGTCTTTGACCTGGGTATCTGTTTTGAAAGAGTACAGTTGTTTCCCCATATATGGACACTTAGTTTTCGCCCCCCTCATGCTACATGAGCGTGTTGGGAGGTTTGTCGGCTCGCCGCAAGCGTCGAAAGTAGGATGTTTAAGTTGGAAATTTTTGTACCTGAACGGAGGGATGTTGGTGGAGTTTGCATACATATCGAGGCAATAATTATATGCATATGCTACTATTTTTTTAATAAATAATAATTATAACAATAATTAGTTAATTATTATTATAATTAATTATAATCATATATAATGCTAGTTATAATAATAAATAGCTACTGATTATTACAAGTAATTATAACTAATATTAATTATAATAATAACCAATTGTTAATTATTATAACTAATAATAATCATAATTATTCATAACTATAACATTAACTAATTACTATCATTTATCATACTAATATCATAGTTTAAGAAATCTGACACAGATTTTTACCTGATTAATCGAACACAATGGAGGTCGAGTAGTATAGCTTAACTTTGGCATGTTTAAGTTAGGAGGATGGATTGGCTAGGGTATTTTGACTACATGCTCTAGAGATGAGAAGAGAATCAGAGGTGTGAGAGTATGTGGCTTTGCAAGGCTTGCGAATTGGACAAGGGGATCAGATGGGGGGTTGGCGGCTTTGATTGGTGAGGATTTCGGCTAGGTAGAGGGATACTACCTCCCTCCCCTCTCTCTCTCTCTCTCTCTCTCTCTCTCTCTCTATCTGTATGTGTAGACCGACGACTTGCGGACAAGAGGCCAGTGGGATCAGAGGTTTGGGCCTGAGGAGGTGGACGACTGTGGGGTTCAGGTGAGACGAGGAGATCAATTGCGTGGAGATATAGGTATGTGAGCTGTAGAAGGCTCAACAGTGAGGGAGGATTTGGCTTGCAACTTCAGCTAGGGATTCCAAAGAGAAGAAGTCGAATTAGAGGCTGCTCGGTTGAGGTTTTGGCTTAGTGGGTAGCTTCGACAACTAGTGTCATAGACAGTGGAGGAGGCGTCAGCATCGGTGAGAGGAGTTGGATGGTTTGGATGGAGGAAGGAAGAGTTGTTTGGGGTTGACGAAATTTGAAGTGGGAAGGAGCGGGAGGTCTTCTTGCGGCTAGAGTAGGGAATTGGTTTGTGGTTGTCTGAGGTAGTGAAGAAAGGTTTGAGAGAGGTTTGCGAATGTCTTCGGCGGGAGGAAGTCGGAGGTCTTATGAGCTGGGAGCTTCGGTAGTGTGAGAAAGGGAAGGAACGAAAGTCTTGTTCGCTACCGTGTTTAACGACTCAATCAAGCAACTCTTCGAATGTGAGCGACAGGACATCTCGGTGCCAAATCATAGAGCTGGGATACAATAGCGACGACAGGACATGACTGTAGCAGAGTTTCAGCATGATTCGAGCAGGATAACGGTAATATTTTTTTAATTTTCCTTTTTTTTTGCTTTGTTAACAGAGGTCAACAGTTATTTTGAGATTTTTAATCAGAACTTCAGTGTACATTTTGGTATGCATATAATACTGAAGTAGTTCATCTACAAACCATAACTATTACTAATATTTGAACGTACAGAGATATCTTTAAATATGGATCCTTATGGTGGCTACATCAATACATGGGTCACGTGGAAGCATCTATCCTGGTGCTATTGTAAACTATTGTACTTTTGGGAGATATATTGTCTTCAGATATCTAGATTATATTATAACTGATTTCTAGTTGATTGATATGGTTCACATTATGACTATTCAGATTTGCTTAAATTTTCTCATGCTTAAACTTTTGAGAAAGACGGTTTTACTTTATATAAAAAGTAGACTTATTGAATTCATCATTTTACAAATGCACATTTTCTAATGAATTCATGAAGATATGGACAAAATTTAGAACAAATTGTATATATTTTTATGAGTGCATGATGAATATAGTTCATACAACACATCAAGAACATAGTATGAATATAAAACTTGTCAAACTTCATTTGTTGTCCTTCTGTTTTCCTGACAAGCATTTGCAGTGATAAGGATATCAAGATTCTCTCGTCATCCTCTTCCTAATCTTCTGGGTTTATGTCCTGTAAAGCTAGATTCTCAATAATAAACAACAATGTCATCAATGCAGTGCTCTTGCTCAACTAACCTATACTAGAGGAAAATATAACGTTTCATCAGTACGATAATTTATTCTCTTATCCCTAATTCTGAACGTCAATATTGTGTTCCTTTTCACTTATAACATTCAGGCGCTTCAAGAATTTACTTCTAGCCTGCTTATGGAAATCTGAAGAATGTGCAGTCCTTTTATGCTCACAAGCTTCTGCTTTTGTTGATAAGGCTTTCTGCAGTTCATAGGTATGTCTTGACCAGAAACAATCATGCATCTGCTGCCTTGATCGGGCTTCTTTTTTATTTTTTATTTTTCTTCTAAAGCAATCAAGTGGAAAACTAGTTGAATGGCATTGGAATGGCGAACTTACTATTTGTTATTTAATTTGTAAAGAATATTTTATCAAAGCCATGATTTCCATCCATAGATAGCTTGAAATGTCCCAGTTTCACCCCCTTTTTTATCGAAACAAAGTTTTCATTGTATAAAACATGCTCATGGAAATTGATGAAGGGGCAAGATACATTATTAACAAAGTGCAGTCACTGCAGTGCAGTCAATTAAGTCGACATTGGGAAATAAAGCAAGTTGTCTAGAGACTTATGGGCCTGGTTATTGTTAACTTTTTATTAGACAGAACTATGCCATATCTAATAGGTGATGACATAAAGTATCTTTTTGAATGGAAGGAACATTATTGCTGTTGTTTTATGAGAGCCTTGAGCAATTCAAAATGAAATTCCAATTAATGCAAGATTCTACACACTGGTTGTAAATCTGGATTCTTGTGTCAATAATCTTGTTACCATCCGTGGATGTGGATATGGATGTGAATGTGTATAAGTAGTAATGCTCTTATTTTCACCTGTTGTTTACTAGTATGGTGTCTCCGACAGGCAGTCAACGGCAATTCTCTGTAAGCTATGGATTTTTCTAATTTCTTAGGGTGTACTGTTTGTAACGGTATAAATTTCTAAGGATGAAATAGAATGCCTTCACTATTTGGCTGTAGTTATGTCTTTTTGCTGTTAAGCTGCACCATTGATTGGTAAAATGAAAGACATAAAATGGTCGAACTGGGTAACTTTCTTCTGAAGTTTGAGCATGTTTACTGTCTTCTCTCATGCATTAAATAGTGAGAAACAGTTTTCATGGAGTATAGTGCCTGTTTTTTTTTGTGGTAGTTTGGGAGCTCTTGTTTGTTAAGATAAGCAAGACGCACTAATGGCAGTTATTGTTTGTTTTTGATGATTGCTGTTGTTAAATGTGATCAATCCTATAAATCTACTATTTTGTTGAATTCTTATTTTATTTAAATTTTTAATGCATAAACTGTCTGAAAGCTGAAACCAGTAACCTCCTGCAACTTGCATCTCTCCGTTTTCTGCTGTATATTGCTACTGAACTTCCACCAGCTACTGCATATAGGACACTTTTGACTGCACAGTTTCAGAACTAAAGCCTACATAGAGCTGGATAAAGTTACTGAACTTCCACAATCTGTTTTAAAATATTCCCTTCTCATGTTAAAGTTTTTTCCAATTTTTTGGATTGCAGTTTTATGATGTACAACATTACTTATTTGACTTATTTTGAATGTTTGTATGAAGAGTTTATTTGCTACTCTTTTTATTTTGTTCCCAATTCACCTTTTGTTTATACAGGTGGGAAGAAATAAGTTCAAATCCAGATTTTTAGAGCAATTTTGCTGAAGAATATCGGTTGCCTTTGTTTGTGTTGATGAGTACAACAAGCTTTACTTGACCAAAGAATAAAATAGAATTGAAGTCAATAAGGTCACGAGAATGTAGTGGAAAATTTTAGGCCATCCAGCTTGATGTAATGGAAGTTTTATAGTATGGAACTGCCTCATGTCTTTCTAAAGCTGTATGTATGTATTATGATGAATAATAAATATCTAAGGAAAAACTTAAAATGGTTGATTATTGAAGATCAATCTGCAATTTTTATTAATTTCATAAAAAAAAGAGTCTTTGTGAGTATTGACTTAACAATTTTAGCATTCATAAGAGATTCTATTTCTATTTTAGGACTCTAAAGGCTGTTTGTCATTTGAGAATCAAGATATTTGTTCATCATTTGAGATTGTTTCTCCTAAAATCCAATATGATCTAAAGTACTATACTTTTAAAGGCATGTAAGAATTGAAGAATTTTCTTAATTTGTTTATTTTACGCTTGATATGGTTGCTCATATGTTACATGAATTAGCTTATATTAGTGCAATTTATATGTCATATACGGCCAATCATGTGCCCAAAAATTTGTCGATTTCTCAACTAAACGTTACCATTTTACCAATAGGCCTTCTAATTTTTATTTTAATAAGATGTTATTCTTTTAAAGTATAGCATAATAATAGTTTCATTATATTTGAAAAAAAAAATTCAACTTGATTATGATTATCATGATGACCTCCACATCAAAGACCTGAATTTTAAATTATAGGCATTCTTCTTTGAGAAGTATTATTGAAAATGCTTTGGAGTTTATTTTCTTTCCTCAACCAAGTGCCCTCTTAAGACTTGCACAAAAAAATCTATTCACTTGTTGCATATTATATAATTTTAATAGATTACTATCTAGAAGAAAGGAGAGATTATTAAAGAGACGTAGGTTTTCTCTTTCTTATTGCATACAAGAGAAAAAAATTCATGTATCTTCATGTTGTTCGGCCTCCGCACCTAAGAAATTTTCCTAAAAGAGATTATTTGAGGTGTATGAAAATGAGATTGTTATAGTTGATATAATAAGGAAGATTTATATCAATTAATGCATCACACAATGCATATAATAAAGATTATAATGGCTCTTTCTTGCGATTATATTGCAAGAGAACTTTGAAATTATGCATATAATAAAGATTATAATATTAATAGTCGTTGTTGTAGTAGTTATGCGTAACAAAAAAAAAATATATCTTTTGTTGAGATTGTGGGCTCCGAAAATTTGGCCCCTGCCTCCCCATTGCTTTTTGAGGGGAGTTTTAGCTGATTAAGTTGTGGGGGAAAATTTTGGGATGACAGATAGTTTTATAGATAAGACACTATCTAGAGATTTCACCCTCATTTTGCGAGAACTTTAAATCTGAGTTCTGATTTCCTATAGATGCAAGCCCCTATAGTTAATTACTCATCCCAATAACGAGATAAAACTTTTGATTAAGGCTAGTCATTAATTAGATACGTAGAAATACGCATTATCTGGCATATAGTAGCAGCATGGGTATGGGTATTTAAAAGTTTGATATTTAAAATTAAAATTTTCAACATCTTTCACTTAAAGCGGATGGTGGGGGAATGGATGATGAACTCGATCATGATCTCATTGTCCGTTGTTTCAGGCCATTGTGGTCCCTGGTTTACTTAGTCAAAGGATGTAGTCGACCCAACCTGATAGAAAGATACTTGTCAACAAGAATGGGTTACATCGTCCAAGGGTATCTTGTAGACATGTGTTGGATGTTTGTCAAAAGGGGCAAATTTGAATTCACCTTAGCTAATAGAGGGTCATGTGCCCTATCAATTATATCCTATTGATTCATTACTCAACGATCTAACGCCATTGGGGAGCATACGAGCATGAACGTAATATAGTTGTACCATTTGATATCGAACCACTCGGTTCAGAGGGTCCCCATACATAACCCTTTACCTACAGCATCATTTGGTGGCAAAACCATAGGTGTGGTGCCATTTAATGATGAAAAGATCAGTTAGAAGACACATGCAACATCCTTACTAGCAAGAGACAGATTGAGAATGTATCCTGGTGATATTCTCGACTAAATATTAGCTCTTTGTGAGCTGAGATAGTTTTTTAGATTTTTTCACCTCATCAAACTATTTTGGAGGGTGGATGGGTATTTACTTTAAGTGTTTGATTATTTAATTTTTTTTAAATAACAGTATTTTAGTATTTTTAAATTTTTGGATTTTTTTAGCGTTTGAGGTCATTTTGAATGTTTGATCCCATCCGGTTGAGATTTACATTCAACACGATCATCATCAGAGAATTAGTGGGCAATTATATTTTATTGATTGGAGCTTGTCTACTCTATCTATTATTCGATAAAGGATCTGGTCCGTAGGCTTTATATTTTTGTTAATGAATTTCTTTTGTCATAGACCATGAAGGCTTTATATGAATACATAAAATAGATATTTTGGTCGACACCTTGACTGTATATCTATTTGATAGTTCGAGCCTTATTGACTTCTATCTATTTATATTAAAGGACTAGGGTCAAACTAGGGTTCATTTATTGACCCGCACAATATCCCTAGACGTTACATGTGTATCTAAAACTTGCTTGTCAGGGCATATGCAAGTGTTTGAGTGCATTTTATAATTATTTGTTGAAATTTGTCGACTCCTATTTACTTATTTAGGAGGATTGGGTTCAAATTTATTGACCAGTGCAGCATCCTTAGACATCACGTGTGTTCATACATCACGCTCACCAGGCCCATGCAGGTGTTTGGAGGCATTTTATAATTATTTATTAAACCTTGTTGACTCATATTATTCAAATTTATTGACCCGTACAATATCCATAGACATAACGTGTGTTCCTAGAACATGCTCGTCAGGGCCCATGCGGGTCGTATGATTTCACATACCCATATGTGTATCTATGTGCATACATATTACAGTATATATGCGGGGGCATTTTAAGATGTTTGCATGTAATACAAACGGGTGTCCGTCTGCATTGCTGGTTATTCCTACTAGATGCATGAGTTTTTATTTTGGCTTTATTGATGCCTTATGTCTACTTTTATAAGCATTAAGGATCTGGTGGCGTGGAATCATGCATTAGTGGCCCTTGATCTCTTACTACCGGTCCCCTGCTTCTATTTATAGGTGAATCATAGCATTGTCACAAGATTGCCATGAGACACCTCACTTTTCTGATGTAGACTCCCTTTTCTCATTCACTAGGAGGTTGGATATAGTTACATTGCTTTGTCTCTGTCTCATCATTAGGGTAGGATATTGAGTTGAGGGGCTTGGTCTCTGGGTCTTCACTCGAATGGCACGACATAGTTTTTGGGAGCCCAGCATTCTTGAATAAATAGTAGAATGAAACATCTTTTCTTCTTCAAGCGCTCATTCTTTGACTAGTTGCTGGAAGTCTTTAGTATCTTTCCCACCATTGTCTAAATCTTTCTTTGATGATGTATAAATTGATTCCCTCTTCACATCAGGTCACCTCAATTCATATCTTACTATTAGACTATTTTAAGTCATTAAATATGAGACTTTTAATTACACCCGGTTGACAAAGCTCTCAGCCTCGATGAGGTGAATGTACTTCTATACTTGTATGAGGCCTATCATGCTTGTAGCTTCTATCACCACTGTTATAGATTTTGTATGTAATTATGTCCATAGGGGATTCACTGTACTTATGATGTACCCAATATTGTTATCCACAAATGTGATATCAATTGTTATTGCTTGTAGAGGAATCAACGCTCTTGTTTGCCTACTCATTTTTGTCGCCTGCATGACTTCGCATTGTCATTGGAATCTTCCCTTTTGATGATGTACCAATGCACCTCCTTAGTACATCAAGCTATCTTTATACCCAACGTACTCACAGTATCTCAATGATTTCTACTGTTGGTATTGTACATGTTCATCATTATCCGTAGATGGACTACTATATGCAGCATATCTACTATAATTGTTTGTAGATATTATGTGTATTTAGGTCCACGGAGAATTTGTTGTATTTATGATATATCCACCATTGTATCCACAAATATCATATTACTTATCACTACTTGCTGGAAATGTTCACTACAATCCCCCTGACATATTTGTAGGAGAGCCATTATACTTGCATCTTATCTACCCCCATCATTCACAGGTGGGTCATTATAGCTTGACAAGTCTCCTACAGTTGTCTGCAAGTGGAGTATATATTTGTGTCCACAGGGGATCCTTCGTACTTACAATATACTCATTGTTGTTATCCATAAATATCATGTTGATTATCGTGTCTCATATTCTAATTAGTGCATCCATCTAATTTGCACTGGTGTTGATCGGTGATTTCGAAGCATTGCTACATTTAGTGCATTTTGTCTATTATTGTTTTTGTTTGATCTTTCACGTACATGATAGGCCTTCTATTATTGCTTATGTGCATCACTATATCAAGATACTAGTTGACTGTTTCTTACATTAAGGCTCTCATTAATGCATGTAGGGGACACTTATGCGTTCTTGAGTCGGTTAATGTTGCTTGCAAGTACGTTGTATTCAATTACATAGGGATTGATGTAGAGATTTATTGCATATGCATCATTTCTACCTTCACCATTCACAGGTGGTATGATGTATTTGTTTGTAGCGATGGGTTGTGTTGATTAGTTTACTTGCAAGTTAAAAGTCTTCTCTTTAATTTTTATTATTGTTTCTATTTGCATCAATTGCTGATATCCATTTGTAATTCTTCTAGTTGAGTGAAATTTGTTTTCTGTCACTCACATCCACTTGTCTATTCAATTCGGGTATGGTTTCCTGTGCTTCATTTAAGTTTCCTGTTCATTTATTTAAGTTCTACGTTTGAACTCCAATACAAGTTCTCCATTTTGGTGTAAATTTTGACAGCATCACGTCATATCCCTTGTTTGGGGTAAATGTGGGGAGCTGAGCCTGTCCCATCACGCTACAAGAGCTTGTATGGTAGGTGTGGTGACACACCACGGTCATAGTCTTCAATCAAACCACACTACAAGAGCATGTATGGGGTTTCCAAGGCACCTGTTTAAAATGCACGGTTTTCTTTCCCCTTAGGCACTAAGGCGCTTATGGGAACTTAAGGTTGTCCTCACCACACTAAAAGAGAGTGTATAGGGCCTACCCTCCTCGCCGCATGTGTCGCATCGGATACCCCCTACCATGCTACAAGAGTGGGTATAGGGGGTCCACCTGCGCGTCATGCATACTAAAGACTAGATTTGGAATAT